TTTCAACAAATCGGAACTTCGTAAAATATCACAGAGGGCATAGTGCCACGAAAATGGTGTTCATACAAACCTTCTCGATGTGAAAGCAAATAAACTGAATCTAGTACATGTGCTTTGTATGACTTGTTCTTCTATTGTTCTCAGTACTTTTTTGGTACGGGGGTGACAAGACTTTCGGACCGCCCTGTACTTATATTTTTTTTCAAATTTTAAGGCAAGCTGAGAATGAGTTTAAATAATTAAAGATTTTCGAAATTTGCGACATTGAATGAGGCTTTCCCGAAATTTTTGCCTGTGAGGGAAGACTAAATTTGGGGTGTTAAAAATAAACATTAACAATATCACTGATTTAAATGCATTCTAATCCCAATAAATTTTGTTTGCAGTTATACTGATAAATTTTACTGATTACATAAATCTTATGAAATCCTTTACAATGTCATTTTAATCGTCAATGAAATAACGTTGCCTCTTTGGATGTTTTTCTTTGCGACTGGAAAAATGAAACCTACTTTAACAGATTTCTTTAAAAAAGAATATATAAGAAATTTTCTGATCGACATTTTCAGCAGATCTTTAAAAATTGTCTGGGAGACGGCTTAAAACAATCCGCACCAAACGATTTTAGAAATATAACACCCCCTCATATTTTTTTTTTTTAATTCGCGTCGCATCATGCCACTTCCGTAGAGTTGAATCACCCTCACTTCCTCTGTGTAACAAACGTAAGCTTTTTCCCAAGAACTACCACTTTGTGGGACAGACGCTTGCGCGGGTGTCTCTTGAACACATCGGTCTTAAACCCCTTGCAATTTAAAGAATCAATTGATATCATTCCTCCTTATCTTCACTTGATACCACTTTAGCGATTCGACAGAAACGCATCTCTCCAAGAAATAATTATTCTCTAAATGAATTTTCATATTATCGATTAAGCATTCCAGATAACGAATATGAATTTTTTTTTTTAATTTAAAAAAAAATGTTAATATCGGTTTGAGTATGTCTTTAAATTCACCATCTCCTACGCACGTCAAAAAATGTTTATGCTACGTTATATCTCCTGGGGAACAGTCTCTCTCTCACTCACTCATATATATACCGATCTGAGGGATTGGTGCTAGCCCCGAGACCAGCGCAATCGACTCTTCGGCACAGCTGTTGAGGCGTCACGGTCTTTGACCTGAGGCAACCCCCGTCTTCTACTTATTTAGGGAATTAAGGATCTTATTAAAACACTAATAGAATAATGTAAATTAAAAACTTGATATGTAATCTCACTTTACATCAATCTTTCTGTTCACATCGCCAAAACTTTAATTCAGGATCCGTCTTGCTCGTTTCGTCAAAGATAAAAGGGGAGGTAGCCATCGTTTATCACTTTGTTTCTTCTACGTTTTGGGAAAATATTTGCTTCCATTTTGGAATAAAACGGCTTTGATGACTGAAAAATATGAAGCTGTACTGAAGGAAATATAATATAAAAATACCTCCAATTACTCTTTTTCTAAAATTTAAAAATGCCTCCAACTACGCCTTTTCTTAAGTTGGACTATTCGTGCATATAACGACGAAGTACTTATTTGACGATAACTACTAAGTAGTAATCTGACGCCTAATCGTCCTTCTGTCGAAAAATTCCTACGCCGAATCAGCGACGCCAAATGCCGGAACGTCCCGTGGCGGGGAAATTTGATAACTGAAAAAAGATATTCTCTATGATTCAATCAAAGTCCAGTATTGTTATTACCTACAATATATTGATTTTCCAAACATAGTTTAGATGTGGCACAAGGCCGAAAGTATGGGGTACCCAGTGAGAATCGAACTCGCTATTTAATCGTAACTGTTTTATCCAGACAAGCTTTCTAACCATTACACCACGCCGAGGTGCCCTTATTATCTGCAATATATTTGCAATCATAGAATGTATTACTGGTTGAAGAAGTTACCTGAAGTATTGAAATCCTATCGAAGTTACTCGATATGACGCTACTTTGGATAATGTTTATGAAATAACAAAACTAGAAATAATCACTTTATTAAATAAAAAATAATAATTGTGAGTGAAGGGGCAGTATGGTGAAAAAATTTAAAAGGAGGAACTCAAATTTGTCTTCCTTTGAGATTGATTTCCTTTGTCGTCTTAGATGTGCGGGTAGCGTAACGGATACCGGCGCCGAAAGGGAAATCTATTTCGTTCACTTTAGCACAGATGCTTTTGGGAAAGGCATAAATCCGTTTCTCCCCTCCAGTTGTTGATTAAGTACCAAGGCCAACTGGGTTCCCTAACCTTAACAGTGTAGAAGGTCAACTTTGAATTTAAAATAAGGCTGAAGAGGGATAAGCTTCGTCAGGTTGTCTTTTTATAGATACATTCACTACTGCTATGGCCACAGTGCAAGTGTTGATCCTATGACCTTTCTGGGTAACGGGACTTGTGATCATGATCTTTCCGTGAAGTCACATTTAAGCACGGACCACTGTACTTGAATTGTACACAAATCGAGACCATATTTAAGATATACGAAAACGTTTTAAAGCTGCTGAAAAAAATGTAAAAGTTAACTTTTAAAACTGTTGCTGTTAATTCTCAGAATTAATCTAGTCTCTATAGTAATTTCGTCCTGGGTATGACGATAAACTACATCCGGCAGCAAGGCCTTGATTGGGAGATTGGAGGTTTTGAGGAGCCTAGGACCACCTCTTAATTGCTGTTGTTCCCAGGTTAGACTCTGATCCGGGGTGGTAGCACTTGTTAGGGTCTCAGCTATGGGCAAATAATAACCGACCCGTCAAACACAAATCAACAGTAAATTTTTTATAAAATTACCAAAAGTACATTTTTATAGCAAAATATCAGTGTAATATTAAAAAATATATTTTTATAGTAGAATTACCAACAAATACATTATTTATATATATATATATATATATATATATATATATATATATATATATATATATATGTTTATGAAAGACTAGGTAATCCGTATGGGTAAACCTAAGGAGGATAAAATCCAGAGAACTCAATATAAATTCAGAGCAAATAATTTAAATAAAAACAGACCACTTTAAGGATCCATGTAATAAATTATTTCACCACAGCCCTTTTAAAAGGACTGCGGATCATCAGACTTTACTTCCAAACAAAAAAATGAAAAGAAAAATTACACATTTTTGATGGGCCGTATTAAACATATGTAAATTGAGGAAGTGAGGGGGGGAGAGGGAGAAGACATGAGTGAGTTAGCAGATATTGACACATTTAAACGGTTAACTTAACGGAAGTTATATATTGATATCGAAGGAGTAGAGAAGAAAAAACTCTGAAAAAGAGAGAAGGAAGTTAAGAGAGAAGAGAAGATGTCACTAATTTCCTTTGTAAAAAAAAAAAAAAGCTTGAAACAGACGCTGTTATTTTGCTTTACTTTGAAAGTAATAAAAAAGGCTTAAACACTAATATTCCATGGTCATAATTTATTCCATTGGAATCGTAAATACGATCCAATTCATCAGACCTACAAATTCAAAAAGAAAACAGAAAAAAATAACTCTGGGAATAATAATAATAATAATAATAAAAAATTAGCGAGAGTTTGTGGGGGGCGAATGTGAGAGGTAAAAGAAAGTTCTAGAGAGGGGTAACAGAAGAGAGAACAGGAAGGCCTAAAAGTGAAGGTAGGGATTAGAATTTAACAAAAGTCTTAAAGATTATATACACCTTAACTCAAAGTATAAAATTATGTACATGATATATTCAGTTGAAGCCATAAAATAACCCATAGATGTTAATATAACTTAAAACAAAATCAACAATCTGATTTTAATTTCTTTTCTTTTTTAGTTCGATGTCTTGGATTGATAAATATTTTGGCGGTCTGCGATTAAGTGCGTGGTACACAGCACCCACAAACCAAAATTGGTCGGCTATTCTTTCTGCAGCATTTGAAAATGAGACGCACAAGGACGTCACTCTAAACGTAGACAGCGGGCATGTAAAGGCACACCGTTTGATATTATCAAGCCATAGTCCAGTTTTTGAAGCTATGTTTCGTTATAGCTTCACGGAGAATCTCAGTGGCCATATCGATCTTACAGAATCATTCGGCTCCGTAAAACTCCTCCACCAATTTCTGCGTTACCTTTACCAAAAACCGTTAGAACTCGATTTTGACAACGTTATCAAACTTCTGGATGTTTCCAGCAGGTATTTCATTGGAAGCTTAACTGATCTCTGTTCACAATATCTCTTCAAGCATTTATGCCCGTCCAACTGCCTGAGCACCTGGTTAGCGGCTTCTCTCTATTGTCTACGCGACTTAGAATTTGTGTGCCGTCACCTTTTCTCTGAGGTTTTTCCATTCATCGAAATCCAAAATAGCGTGGTCACCGCACTGCCAAGCTGGTTTATCATGGACATTCTTATGAAGTCTAACCTTCCAGATGTTTTCCCCATCCTTTTTCCGACCTTGATCATTGTTTGGCTACTAGGCAATTTCAAGCAGCGTGAGGCCGTCGTTATAAAACTTTTTGTTTCATTGAGCGTCTCTGAGCAGACGATTCTCGAAATTTTCAGCAATCTTAATTTGAACCAAACGGATCGGGGTCTTGTCAGGTCAGTGTTTGCCCGGGCGTTTGTATTTACTGCCGGCAGCAAGAACAGACCGACAGAACTTTTTTGTCGCTCACTTTATAAAGAATCCCTCCACCAGAACGATGTTTCCGGCACAAATCGACACCAGTATTACGCCAATAGGCAGCATCTCTGCGTGATGTTGCTGAACGAAACCAGCAATATAGCAGCATTTTATTGTATCGAACACCAAAAATGGCGAACATTACACCTGCCGGTTTATAATGGGACTACTCTAGGTATAGTGGCCGGTAATCTCTTAGTTAGGGTCGTGGCCAAAGGAAGTTCGGCTAATCTGTTTAATCTGCGAACAAGAAAGTCTACTCAAACACCTTGCGTGTTAACCGCGGTATCAGCGTGTGAGATGGAGTTTGCGTTCCTTCCAACTCGAACTAATTTTTTCCTATCGAATGGACAGCTTCACGTAGGGTTGGTAGTTCGAAAATTTCGCAGTCTTCAGTTAGTTCTCTTTCGCTTCGACCACCTTTTAAACCGCTGGCATTTCCTCATGGGTTTCCCGCTTCTACGGAATCTCAACCACGTGACTCTTCGAACGTACAGCACTCGATGCAACCTCGTTTATCTGGTCGTCACCGTGCGGCCCTTTATTTCGGCACTTCATAGTCTAAACACGCCAAGCGAATTCTCTCACGTCTTTGTCGTCGACCTGCTGCTTTTAGAGGTCGTCGGCTCTTCCTGCGGCTATTTCGGCAGCAGCATCTTAAACAACGATTGCTTCATCTTGACGAATAAACTCCATTTCGTTACTAACCGGCAAACGCTTCTAGGTCATCGTGACAAGTCGCCGACGACAGCAAAAGTCCTTGTTATTAATCCATACGACCAGAAATATTTACATGTTCTCTATCCCGTACGCGCTCCAAGACTGGAAAGACTTCCTATCGTACCTTTGAGTCGCAAAGATCTATTCTGCTCCGAGTCGCTTAGCACAGTCAGAGAGTCTATTTTGTGCGTATTGCATCAGATGGGGCCATACGTATCTAATATGTTTATTTTCGATATGGAACATCGCAAATGGTTCCAGACACCATCCCCGCCACCGATATTCAAAAGAAAACCTTCGAAACCGATGCTGATCTATGCTTATGTGCCTGTAAGTACATTAATACCGGAAACTGATCCAAGTATTATTTCTGCAGATGAAAACATTTTTCAGGAATGGCAGCTTCGCAAAAGAAAATATTGAGGAAAGCTTTCTTTTCCTTCAACGGTTTTGTTTTCCTATTGTTAAAAACAAACTTTTTTGTTTAAATATTGTAAACCACAATAATTGTGTTAGTCCTGCAAGACGTATTAAAGATATTTTAGAGTTGTTACAAATCATTTTTTTTTTTTTTTTTCAATTTTTTAAACAGATCTTTGCACTTCAACACTTGAATTCTATCTATTTATTTAAACGAACATTTTAACAGCAAGAATTTCTTTTCAAACGGCGACGTAAAATGGTATCTTACGGACTGTGCAGACGTTTTTATTATTACTATTTTATTTCACCAAAGTGTTTGAGACAATATAACAAAAAATAAATGGTTACATGCTGTTTATATTAAATCTCTTTTTATTTATGAAATATTAACGCTTCCGCCAATATAAACGTACTTAACGTCTTTTCGAAAGTATCTATCTATTCAGCCACTTTGTTTTGGAGATAGACCCCCCTCAATAGTAATATATATTCTGAAAATAGATTACCCAAGGTACTTGGATAAGTATATTGCATTTTGATCAAAGGGATGTCCGTGGAAGGGGGCACATATCTCTGAATCTTCCCCATTTTGATTTAAATTAAATCTGGACAAGGGAATGACTCCTATTCAAAATATAGGAGAAAACCTGTGTGTGTGTATATATATATATATATATATATATATATATGCCTGATCAGAAAAACTACAGGGGCTGTTGCTATGATAACAGTAGACGTACGCAGTGTAGTCGCTCAGCATAGATTGCCTTTGAACTCTGTTGCGCATGCCCATTAAGTTATAATATTCTCGTTCGCTTCCATTGTTTATAGCAGCGCTTGGAAGGAACATGTGTAGTGTGGTCGTCTCCTCACACCACAGAGGTTCCCTCAGTGCCCATGGATTGTGTTTGGCTCAGGACAATCTTCCTCAGGTCCGACAACCGCTAAGAAAATGCAAAGAATCAGCTGCACACTCTACCCAGAAAGGAGTTTCCGGAATGCTTCACATCGACAAAAAACTACACTGGATAAAGTTTGTCGCTTCAGAAAGGGACTATTGCCGAATTGATAATTAACAGATAATAGTATTTTACAGCGTCATTTTGGGGAGGTTTTTCTTTTGTATACATATAGGTGTGTGTCAGGGTTACATATAACACTGCATAATAAATTTTGTCAACTTAATATGAATTTTATTGAAAAAAAATGGAGGTGGGGAAATAATTATAGAAATCTCAACATTTCGTGGTAAGTGCTTAAAAGTGGCTGTATAGAAGAATATAAAAACTAACTGTAAAAACTAATTATTTTTCAGATGGTAACGAAAGTTTTATACAGAGTTGTTTATTTTTTGGTAGGGTTTATGGTCCTTTCCTTTGGGACCCGTATTGTTAGAATTGATTTAATGATATGAACAACGAAACAGCGGGTATCGTCGATGTTTCATTGGCGATCAACGAATATCGTCAATTGATGTTTCAAAGTTTTTCCCAACTCTACGAGTCTCATTCATTTATGGTTCGTATCTGAATGATTAATTGGCCACGCTAGGATTTCATGAAGTTACTATTTACTAGAATTCATTAATTTCCTGTCGTATTTGCCTGCAAATAAATTTGAAAGACTAATTCAAAGACAGTGCCATGGCTTTATGCAGCTTTTTAAAAAAAAAAAAAAAAAAAAAAAGCTAAGAGGTGACAATTTTATGCAAAGAATAAACAATGCTATTGCTTAGGGAAATTCTTCAAGGCGTATAGCACTGTTTAAAATGCAGTGGAACCTCGGTTCACGAACTTAATTCGTTCGTGAAGCCCGTTCGTAACCCAAAATTTTCCTAAATCGAAACTGTTCCAATAGGAATCAATGTAAAATTGATTAATCCATTCCTGGTCCCAAGATGATTGCTTATTTAAACTCTTACAACAGTACATTGTGCACAAGTTTATACACAAAACTAATGAAAATCATGGAATCTAAGAAGAAAAAGAAAACAATACTAAACAGATAAAATATAGACGAACACTTCAATTTTACCTTACCTGTAAGTAGGAGAGTTGATGGCGTAAGGGGAGGGAAAGAGATGTTATTGTTTGGGAAGGAAAGACATGATCATCTCTTTATTTATAAGAATAGTATAGATCATTGATTTTGCCATATGAAACTGAATAGGAAGAGACAATATCATCATTCTAGAGACAATATCGTCAACAATTGTTTTTCTCTTAACTTTTCTTTTTCCTTTACCATTATCACTGCTAGCTTTCTTTGAAACCATGACTGAGGACCAATAAAGAGGTAAAAAAAGGTCACAATAAAATTGGAAAAGAAAAAAAACTGCACAAAACACGAATGTATACAACATGGCCATTGACTCGGAAATGATTCCGTTCGGGTTAACTCAGTTCGGCCATGTTGTTCGAGAACCAAAATTTTGTTCGCTAACCGAAGCATTTTTATATCGAATTTTCTGTTTGAAAACCGATTTGTCCGACATGTGAGATGTTCGAGAACCGAAGTTGTTGTGTATTCAGTTTAGGAATATTGTTTTATTTTCCAGTTTTCTTTATACTCTATTTTAAAATTTTTGTATATAATTTTAATTACTTTAGTGAAAATACGTATAACTACATTTCACAAAAATAAATTTTCTAGTTATTTATTTATTTATTTTTTATTTTATTTATTTTTTTTCGTCATTTTAGGATTAAATTATTTAAATGGGGAATTCGTGATCAATATTCAGGTTTTATTTCTTAAAAAGAAAATTTGACTCATCAGATTAGCGAATTTCTTTATTTTGTTCGAATTACAAAGATCTGTTTTCCTACAATCATACTATGCTAAAATATATCACACTTCCTGATTTCTAAATGAAATGCAAATTTTAACAAACTGAAACTTTCGTTTTTCGTTTTGGGCAACCATCATGTGATTGGAAATTTCCGTCATTTGCAATTGAGCTGAATTCTTATGATCTATAGCGAACATAAAAAAGACAGTAACGATATCTTTTGCTAAAGAACTCTATTTCAACCAGACTGAAAAATGAGTCAAGACAAACTGATAAATTAGTCGAACGATCATTTCTACGGCAGTTGCTCCTAAGTACAGCCGGTTATTTCGTTTCTTGAGTTTGTTTCACACACTTCGGTGTTGGTGGAATGATTAGCACGCTTTCTTCGATAGATCAACGACGACTGAGTAATGAGTTCGATCCTTACTGAGAGCCAAATACTTTAGGCATTGTACCACATTTAAGCTACACTAAAGTGTTAGTAACTTCGACGTGGTGTGATGGTTAGAAAGGTTGTCTTGCTAGACCACATGACGGCTGTGTAGTGAGTTCGATCCTCACTGGGTGCTCCACACTTTCGGCCTTGTGCCACATTTCAGCTACAATTAAAGAATCGTTGGGCTCTTCGGTGTGGTTCAATCGTTAGCAATCTTGTCTTGATCAATTACAACTTACGAGTGAGTTTGATCCTCAGTGAGTACTCCATACTTTCTGCCTTGTGTCACATCTATGCTACGCTTAGGAAACCACCATATTTGTTGCAGTCACTATCTGATCTGTAAGAATTTAATTTTTTTTTCTTAGTCTCACACCGTACAAGGCACGGGAGCCACTCGAGGTAGAGGGTTACGTTAAGGGGTAGTTTATATGGAGGGAAGATAATGGCTGACTCTAGACTTGAACAGGTTAAGATTGTAGTGATTGGGGAAGCATCCTCTTGGGAGTCGGTTCCATAGGGCAGTGGTTCGAAGGAAGGAACTGTGTGGAACAGTTCTTGCCGATGGAATTCGGAGGGAATGTGGGTGATTTACTGCTATGTAAGTGTCAGGGTGGGTCTTAACCGTGAAGGTCAGACCTGGTGGGACCACGAGATGCAGTTCGTCCGAGCACGTTCCATAGTAGTAGCAAAAGAGCTGTGAGAGGCTCGCTATATCACGCCTGTGAGATTGGAGGATGGAGAATAATTCGTCAGCCATATGGACATTTATCGAATCTGGAAAGTGACAACCTGGTAGTTCTCGCCCAAAATATGACGCATTAAATAGAAATCCGTATACTGTTTAGTCTGACTTTTGTATGACTGTATATGAACTATAAATTACTCTACGCATTGTAGATATATAAATTATGCTTCTTTGTAATTGAATGACACTTTGGGGTCTGCATCCAGGTTCAAATTTAGAAGATATAGCTATCACTCTTCTCAATTCCTCAGTGTCCTATGAGATTCTGCGAGGCTCATGTCTGTCTGTTCTCAGATTTTGTCTTCATCTTCTTTGGGTTCCTGAAACTGTTTCTTGCAAGATGGACTTTGCAAGGCCTAATCAACAGGTTCATGGTCTTAGATTGCTTTTTAAAGTCCAATAAGCCGTAGGAGATTTATAGGGATATTTCTACAAATCAGTTAAAACATAAAAAAAAAAGTGTGTTCAAAAATATCTCCCCCTCTTATATTCGTGATTTATTGCTCGAAAATACAGCAATTGTGGGTTTGGTTATTTTCTAAGCGCAGCTTAGATGTGGCACAAGGCTGAAAGCGTAGGGACATCTAGTGAGGATCGAACTCACTTTTCAGTCATAACTGGTCTAGCGAGACAAACTTGTTAACCATTGCACTACGCCGACGTGCACTGGTCCGCTGTTATACTCAGAAGCGAACATAACCGGATATTAATTTTAGCGTCCCAAAAGAATTGTGTATTCCTAGCACCTAATTCCCCCCCTTTACATCTCACGTAAATCTTTTAAAGTGGACTCCATTTTTTTAATCCTTCTTTAGTTTCTTAGATGAGGCATAACAAAACTTTGAATGGCAGCAACAATTCAGTTTTATGGAAAAGGCTTTGAGTTACGTTTACTTATAGAAAAATAGTTTAAATAAATGATATTACATAGCAGACATTATTTTCAGTTTGATTTCGAATGTCTGACCCTTCGAAATTCAAAGACATCTACTATATAATAAATGCGAATGTTATTGTCTCATCGAGTCACACTTTTCCAACTTTATTCCTAGAGGCTCAACATATCAAGCCATTTTGGAATCAGGCGGACTCTGTGAGCAAATTAAAGATTCAGGGCCGGACTCGAACCCGGAAGCCTGAAATTTTGGATTCGCAATTTTTCATTATTGCGTTTTTTTACGTAATGTTTTGCGACGAATTTTTTTGTACGATAACAATTTTTATAACTTGGAAAAAATTTGCAATAGTCTAAATTTATTTAAAAATCTAGCGAAAGAAACCCATGAAACAAAAAAAAATAAAAAATTGTTCGAAAAGTAAGGACTCACGTGCATCAAACTCTCTTTAAATTAAGTGTCGGTAGAAGAATTATCGTTAAACTTTTAAAAGGTAATTTAAATATTAATACTAGACTTAAAATGCTGCGATCAATTTTGAGTTCTTCTGTAGTTTATTGTTGCCTATCATATCTACTCCTTTCCTACTTATTGTGTTAAAGGACCAATCAAGAATCCTTCGCAGGAGCTAGCTTAAATGCCACCCGATAGGACGGCTTTTAAGCTAGTAATATATAAGATATATAATATATATTATAAATATATTATATATAACATGTATATATAACATATGTATATATTTTATATAACATATATATAATATATATTTTATATAACATATATTTTATATATAACATAACATATTATATTTTATATATATCATATTTTTATATAATGTAACATATTATATTTTATATATACCATATTTTATATATAATGTAACATATTATATTTTATATATACCATATTTTATATATAATGTAACATATTATATTTTATATATACCATATTTTATATATAATGTAACATATTATATTTTATATATACCATATTTTATATATAATGTAACATATTATATTTTATATATACCATATTTTATATATAATGTAACATATTATATTTTATATATACCATATTTTATATATAATGTAACATATTATATTTTATATATACCATATTTTATATATAATGTAACATATTATATTTTATATATACCATATTTTATATATAATGTAACATATTATATTTTATATATACCATATTTTATATATAACATATTATATTTTATATATACCATATTTTATATATAACGTATTATATTTTATATATACCATTTTTTATATATAACGTATTATTTTTATATACCATATTTTATATATAACGTATTATATTTTATATATACCATATTTTATATATAACGTATTATATTTTATATATACCATATTTTATATATAACGTATTATATTTTATATATACTATATTTTATATATAACGTATTATATTTTATATATAACATATTATATTTTATATATAACATATTATATTTTATATATAAATATATTTTATATATAATATAACATATTATATTTTATATATAACATATTTTATATATAATATAACATATATATTATATTTTATATACAATATATATATATATATATATATGTATGAATTATAATTATGCAGCATATAAATCACTGTTTAGTCTGCAAAAGTCATTTGAAATACTGGATATATTAATACTCACAAAATCTGCGTGGGAGTAAATTCAATGATTTTTTTTTTTTTACCTAGTTTCCTTTACGTGTGTTTCAGTTGGTCTGTCGTGGCTGCTAAATCTTACGATTTCTTAACCATTGTTTTAAGCACTGCAGTGCAAGCAGATCACATACATACACACACACACACACACACGCTCGGCTGTACGCCAATAATTAATCCAATTACTGTATTCCTTTACATGTTTACATTTTATTTTTCAGTCAAAATTTTCAAGAACAGTTAGGAATAGCGGATTTAAAGTTGCAGCCTTTGATTTTGGGATCGAATCCAGTGTTGGGTCCGCAAATTGAGCGGAAAGTAAGGCCTGATGCGCAATTGTAGTAGGCATTGCAATCTTTCGGGTCAGCGTACAAACCGTCGGATTTTCCACTGCAAAACTTTCCATCCACTAGAAAGAGTAAAACAATACAAAATCATGAACTCCTCGTTAAATATAGAATTATAAACTTTCATAACATAAGCCTTCTAAATAGTCTTTATTAACATATGTTGCAAGATACGAAACAGTTGACTTTCGGAAGAAACTAATTCCAAATATTTGGGCCTCAGAATTTCAAATTTGGCGCGTATTTTCTAATTTCATGAAATATTGTTTTTGTTTCATTAAATTTTCGATTGATGATAAATTTATTTGATATAATTAAACTTTGAAACTTTGTCTGCTAAGTAAAATAAGTACAAGGGAAAATTTCACGGTTTTCTATTGACATTTTCTGAGGAGTCATAATTCTTGATTTACTGATTGAATAAACTCCGTGAGAATTTTACGACTATAAAATACTCGTGGGAATTCCCCTTTATTTTATTTATTATTTATTTCTGTGTGTAAACATGATGACAATACTTCATCTAATTGTGAAAAATAAAGATATTGCTGAAACTTTCTATTTTTTTATTTATTTATTTGTTTTTTATTTATTTATTATTTATCTATTGATTTATTTTTTATTGATTTATTTTTTATTGATTTATTTATTTATTTATTTATTTTTTTATTTTTTTTATTTATTTATTTTTTTTATTTATTTTTTATTTTTTTATTTATTTTTTTTATTATTTTTGTGTATACACATCCTGACAATACTTAATCTAAGCGAGAAAAATAAAGATATTGCTGAAACTTTCTATTATTTATTGATTTATTTTTTTTAATTTTATTTATCTATTGATTTATCATTTATTTTCCTTATTTATTTTTAATTTTCTTATTTATTTACTTTCTTATTTTGTGTATACACATCCTGACAATACTTTGTTTGATTGAAAAAAATAATGATATTGCTGAAACTTTCTATTTTTCTAAGATTTAACTTTCTAGAAAGAATTATACAGACTACTGGAGAATTCTTTTAGTTGTTCTAAATTTCTACTTACTTCTTCCCGAAGGTCGTGTTACACGTTTCGTGATAACTTCTGGTGGGTTCGTGACAACTTTGTTGCCGCGTCGGCATTCGAAGCCAGGAGTTGGATCGCAGTCTTTGATTGCATCGTTCCACATACCTGCGGTGCAGTGATCTATGTATGTTCTACCACCCTGACAGAGTACATAGTCCGTGCAGGACTTTGGGTGGGCGTAGGTACCGTCAGCTTTACCAGAACACAGTACATCATCCTTACTAGGTGGAAGGGTTGGAGCTGAAAATAGAATCCACAAAAGGAAATGTCATTAAAAAAAAAAGAATTTTTTTTTCATTTCTTTAAAAATAAATATTAAATTCTATCTATTTTATATCTTTTTTTTCTTTTGAAGATATGACACTGTATTTTAATTGAACTTTTGGCACAAGGCCAAAGAGGAAGTGGGGGTGAGGGTGGTCGTTACTGATTATCCTAAACCTAGCTAATCTGATTCACGGCCCATTCATCCGTTACAATTTACTCATACGCCACAAGAACTTATCCATCACCACTCAATCCAACATATACCACAATACCGCATATTCATAGAGATCCTACTAAAACACAGATGACATAAAAATTTCACAATAGTAGAATCCTCATATCCGGAATCCCTTATATCCGGTGTGCCTCATTTCCGGAATCCCGCGTATTCAGACATGATTTTGATGTGAACTATTTGGGTCATATATAACTGATTTGAATATTCCGTTTTTTAGGAAATTTACTTTGGATAATTGCTTATGCTTATTTCACCCTAATGGCTTGCATTGGTGCAAAAGATGATGAGAATAAAAGGAAAAGGACAACTTTGACGTTATCGTAAAAGTGGACATTTTAAACAGACTAGACGCTGGTGAAAGTTCATTGTAACTAATGGCTGAGTTCAACATAGGAAAGTCAACATTGTATGATATAAAATCTTAAAAAAAAAAAAATTCTCCAGAGGCCATACTGTCACAATGAACAAGGAAATAAAAAAAAAATTGATTGTAATGAAACCTGGACTGAAATTGAAAAAACTATGGAAAAGGTTGTCAGTTTTATGGAAAGAAAACCAGCACTCAGCTATGACGATTGCAATAACGCACGCAGAGTTTAAAAAAGAGTGTCTTTCATTTTTTTTTAAACCATTTTTCAAGCTTCTTTAAAAATGGATTTTTTATATAAGTTCCACTTGAAGTCTAGAATAAACTTGAGATCTAATAGGCGTTCAAAGCCTGTTGCCCCATTGAGTGTACGACCTTTACAATATAATTTACCTCGCTAAGCATTCACGGAGTTGTTAGTTTGAAGGATAATTTTGAAAGCCAAGCAATACTAAATTTTAAATTTCGCCATTTTTAGGTATACCTTTGAAATGAGCTGGCCTACTAAGAAAGTCAATTCAAAATTTAGTTCCACTGATCTTTCAAATGTAACTCAGTTTGGTACTCTTGCTTCTTGATTGATTGATTCGTTTTTTACGGTTTGTCAACCTATTGCAGATTATTTAAAGCCAGAAAATATTTGTAAGCTTGTAAGACATTTTTTTTCATTTTTTTAGATAATGATTCAGTGCTACAATTCTTACTAATTAACCCATAGCTTGGGGGAGAAGAGGCGGGTTCTTACCTTTCCCAATGAGATGGGGTATTATGATTACTTGCATTATTTACATTATTCGGATTGTTATCCTCATCCTCATTGCCATATTCACACCGTTTCGGCCGTTGTACGCTCCGGCCTTCTTCAGGTGATTGGAATTTCGAAACGAACCGTTTATTTCGTCCACCGAGGCAGATTGTTTTAGTTCCACGTGCCATGCCTCTTCCGGATGTCTCAGCCATTTCCCTTTAACTCAACTCTCCAAATTTTGGTTCACCACTGCTGTGGCCTGGTATTGAACTCAAAACGCTTCGTGTCTAGTTACTGGATCTAACCAACGTCTTTATCCACTAGGCCACTAATATTTGCACTTAAAATGAATATAACGAACTCAGCCTGAATTAGAACTCGGTTCCGCGATTAACGATTTCGAGCCACCTATCTACGTAATTCTATATTATTTATATTTGATTCACAAATACAATAAGTGGGGGATCAGTTTTCCTTTAACACTAAGTGATAGACAGATCCCATATTTTTTTGCCATTTTATATTTGTTCTACTCGAGGAAACGAGTCTACTTTTTTTTAAAGATCAGTATTTTCAAATGTAATTCAGTCTGGCAAAGATGCTTGTTGATTATTAACATCTGATCAACAAAGTAAGCAATAAGTGAGGGATCATTTTTGTTTTGCAACCAATATATAAACTAATCCCCCACTACATTTTTCGGCATAGGAGATTCCTTCACCGGGGTTGATAAGACAGACGACCGATATCTTCGTCTGCCGAAATAGGGTATTCCCCACATGAGGTGATTTTTGGATTTTATTGTTTATTAATTATTTACTCTGTAATAATAATTTGTTACCTTTACTATATATATATATATATATAGATAATATTAGTGGAAAATACATACTTTATGCATTAGACATCCGTCGACATTCATTCTCTTCTCTTATCTAAAACCCTCCCCACCACCTCTCCTAAAATTTACACTTTCTCTAAATTATATTTTCACTTCCGAAGTGGTTTTTTCTGTTTTCATTTTGAATTTGTAGGTCTGATGAATTGGATCATTTACGATTCCAATGGAATAAATTATGACCATGGAATATAAGTGTTTAATCCTTTTTATATATATATATATATATATATATATATATATATATATATATATATATATGCTCTGTAAATTTGCATTGAGCAATGTTTTGTAAAAATAACAAGAACACCGGATTATATATCTTACTGTTCTTATATATATATATATATATATATTTATGGTGGACTCTTCCCGTCGTATTCGACGTATGAGGGTCAAGTAGTTCCTCAATTCCAAGGAATCGACAGCCAGACAGCAGCACATATGATTTGATTATAGTGGGTAAGGCTTTTTGCAGAACCAACCACTCTTTTCGAAAGGCCGAATGCACAGACCCGGTGCACCACGTGACACAAGGTCCCCAAACGAACCTCCGCAGGTTTTTTGAATTCAGAGTTGTCCTTCTCATAGACCAGTTACCATCCATGACTACAGAACCCAGTCTGTCCTGCTATTTACCCATAGCTGGAGGGAGAAGACGAGGATACATACCTTTCCCTAAGGGTATTAGCACGTAAGTGAATGGATTCGACTGGAATTCCGAACCGCTATTCACTACTCCACCGTGCCTCTCTATATAATCAGATTCTATTTAAGAGCTGTCAGAATTTGTAGCACCTCAATATTTACATAAAGAGAAGAAATACATTGAAAATACTTTTAAGCTTTCTCACTACCCTATGTCATATTCAACACATATTGTAATATGTGGGCAATAATTCATCGCCTACAAGGCCGCGCAAACGCATTTGAACTCTGTCAAAGAGAGGTAGATCCAACCTAGACATGGCAGCAATACACCATTTTTGGTTTTATCTGAAAACAGAACATTGCAGGCAGTGACAGGTACTTATTGGAGCCGAATAATGAACCGATTGTTTATTCAGGGTCTTTAGCTATGGATCGTATATATGAGTCCCTCTTGAGGTCTAGGGTGAACTTGAGTAACCGAAAGGCTATCAAGGCAAGTAATCTTTGAGAGTAAAATCATTCACTGTGACTAGTGATAATTTAGAGCCAGTTTAGTGACCGGGAAACATTACTAGCTTGATTTTTGGAGATACTGAAACCAGCCTGTTTGATGTGTTCTTTTCCAACAAGTCTACAATCTGTAAACACCCCTAATTAAACTAGTGTACCATTTAAGCAGTTTTACTATCAAATTAGGCCGAGGCACTTTGTACAATTGCGAAATGATTGAATAATGAGCTATACAATTAGGCTAAGTTATTAAGACCACAGCCTGTTGATGGAAAGAACGTTGATTTTAGACAACAAATATTTGTCAATGTAATCTATTGTCAATACACTTAATTCATTTGGAAGTATTAATCACATTGATCGAGCATTTTGCAATGAAAATTTCAGATTAAAAATTGGCTATTAACTACATCTCGTCCCATACACAGGGAGATTACTAAGTTTGCCTAATAAAAAAGCAAACGCGTAATTTTTTGCAGGCTTTCCGAAACCAAGCAAGGTATTACGAGATAGGAAAATGTTCTCAGAAACAAAGAAAAGACTGCTGGATTGCTATGTATTGTCGAATTTCATACCTTTACTTCTTTCGTCTACGTCGAGCTTTTATTAATTGATTCAAACGAGCTATAGCTTGGACTTCCATCAGACTATGACACTAACCATCACGATCCCGCATCAAGGCCAGAAGGTCATTAGGGTGGCATCGTGTCGCTCTACATAGCTGGTCAATGTAGGTTGTTATTGGGCGAACAACCCGTCTTGCCCCATGGCTAGGTGTTCAGAGCAGTAGATCATTTAAAAGTTCTTATTTTCCTCGCCAGCAGCGTCCTGCAAAGCGCATTCTGCGTTTAAGTTTGTAGAAATATCAGAGATGGGTACACGGATCTGTGATTTACTTGGATGTTGTCTCCCAAAAATGTTAAGTATAGCTCTCAACAGCCGAATGTAGGTTCCATCAAGCTTAGACTCAAGGGTTTTAGTTAATCTCCAAGCAGTGGCACCATACAATAAAACTGATTCTACAGTGGCCTGAAAGAAGCTCTGTTTGATTTTATGATTTACGTCTGATATTTCACGACCGTTATCATAAATTAATTTTTTCTACGACGTCGTACCACGTGAATCAACGAAGTATTAACAAGAGAACTATATATATATATATATATATATATATATATATATATATATATATATATATATATGTGTGTGTGTGTGTGTGTGTGTGTGTGTGTGTGTGTGTGTGGGGTGTATAAGCAGTTCAAGAAAGACATATGAATCCCTACGACTCAAAAAATCCATTTTTATAATATGTGGACATATCTACTCTTTGCTTGAAGAAGGCCACGAAACCAGAAACCCGTGTAGCAGAATTATGGCAAATAGATTATAATATATATTTAAAAAAAGAAAATACACATTTCAACCAAAAACATTTGCGGTTTATCTTCTTTTTAAAATTATATACTGTTGGTTAGATCCAGTGAGAAGACCCAAAGAGTGTGAGTTCAATACCCGGTTAAGGCAGTGTAGAACTTTCAGAGGGAAATTAACAGGAGATAACTGATAACTGACATCCATCAAACATGACACGTGGAACTAGAACAGTCTGCCCATGTGAGCAAAATAAAGGGCTAAGTTCGACATTCCAACCACCTGAAGAAACGTTGTAATAAATATGGCAACAAAGATGAGGACAATAGTTCGAATAATGTAAATAATGTACAGAACTTGGCTTAGAACGAAAAAAGTCCAATTCAGGAGTTTGTAGGAAAGTTGAGCTACGACAGTCTTTGAATGCGGACGATGGGCCCATTTTGAAGAGCTATAGTCCAAATTTCGGGCTATTGCCCGGGCTTGAACACAGACCATTGCTACTGGTCAGAAATGTATAACTATTTCAACAAAGCAGTTTGTAGTAATGACTTTTTACGTTACGTCTAAACTCTTTCTTTCTCCAGAACAAATATCTCATACAATAAACGGCTAATCATACACTATGAATATTAAATGGTCAATAATCCATTTTAAAATGATTATCTGAATAAACGTTAGGAAATTATTTATTTATGAATTCAATATTAATGTTCTATTTCTTAATGCTGAGCACTTTATTTATAAAAATTTACTCTTGCATAGTATGCGTTATCCTTCTGTAATTTACTGGTCGATCAGTTTTGTAAACAATCTTTGACATTATAAAAGTTAAAATAAGAAAATAAAAAAAGATGATAAATGCTTACGTTTGGGTGTAACTACTGGTGGGCCGTCACTAGAAAATAAAAATATATTAATTATTAATCCGTTGAAACATTAGAAGCGTTTTATCTGTACAGCACGACGTCTTCGAATCATCATACTATCGGCAAACGAGTAGGAACATCTATTTTTTTAATTTTTTATTTGCAGCAAGGTTCATCCTTTACAAAGCTCGGGGGCCACTCGAGGTAGAGGGTTACGTTTGGAGGCCATTTGTGTGTATAAGAGTGAAAGATATCTGTTAGCACTAGCTTTAAACAGGTTAAGATTGTAGTGATCGGTGAAACATAGATTTTTTTTTTAATTAATTATAAGATTCCTCCTTTAGGGTAGCTTTTTTTTTCTTTATTTTTTTTGAAATATTAGGTCGAATTTTTAATGGGGGAAGAGATGGACTGTTGTCGGTAATGTTTATGATTACATCTATTGTTGCCTTGACTCGGACGTTGGTAAATAAATTTTGAACGTCGTGTGAGGCTAAAGTTTTATTTATTATTATTTTTCCTTTTTTTTAAGAATTTGGAGTAGTTTGTGTGCTGACTTTATGCTATATATATATATTTATATATATATATATATATATGAGCAAAATGGAAAAGTTACTTCCCTTATGCTGGGAAAATAAAACAAAAATCATGTGAACTTTGAACTTTGAAATCTAGAATGGTGCATAAGGAGTAAAAACGAACAGTTGAAATATTTTGAATTTACAGAAACATATATGCATACCCACAGCCAACTTATCACCCCCCACCCCGACCAAGATGGTCTCAGATGTGATTGAAAGTACTTGGCTTATATATATGTGTGTATGTGCATATACAGTGTGCGATGGATAAATTATCGCCATTTTATATTCTTTATTTCGCGCATGCGCATTGTGTGATTTTAATTTTGTCGACTGCACATAATTGTAGGGTCAGTTGGGCACCGTCTGTGAGAAAAATCTCCATGACGCAATGACTCCACCAGAAATTTGGAAACGGCATGCTGTACATCTTGGCATTCGCGCCGGAAGCTCCAATACGAACATTTCAGAATGTTTGGGTGTCAGTCTGAGGACAGTGTATAGGATTCGGAAAAAGTTGGATGAGTTTAATGGTAATTAGGTAGGTGTTTGGAGTGATCACTAGTAATGGCGATATTATGCCTCCATTCATCTTCCCACAGGGCCTCAGACTCAACACGAAGACCTACATCAAGTACCTTGAGAAGGTAGTGCTGCCCTGGGTCAAGAGGGTGGCTGCTGGAAGATCCTATGTCTAGCAACAGGACCCTGCACCATGCTACACAAGCAGGGGAACCCAGTCATTGCTGTCAGGCATTTTCTGCGACCACATGACCCCCTTACATCTGGCCATCTAACTCCCTAGACTGCAACCTCCTTGATTATTATATGTGGGGCGCAGTTGAGCGAGAGACCCACAGAACTCCTTGTAACTGAAGGCAAGTATTATGGCAGCATTCACCAACTTAAACAAGGAGACCGTCCAGAAGAGTTGCAGGTGAATCTGAAATCGTCTGGAGACTGTGGTTGAAACCAATGCCGATATTAATATTGAATAAATTTACTCTTTAGTATTTCAAGATATTTTTTTTTGTAATTTTGGTAAATATATTTCTTAAAAAAAGATATCAGTATTATTTTCACTTCAGTGTAAGTTAGACGACAATTTATCCATCGCACCCGGTATGTGTGTATATATGTTTATATATATATATATATATATATATATATATATATATATATATATATATATATTTGTTTCTATATATGTGTGTGTGTGTGTGTGTGTATTTTGTGTGTGTATCTGCCTGTGTAGCATGTGAAGGTCACTCTGATGTCTGATCAGATTTGGGGAATTAGGTTGGGCTGAGAACTTTTCAACGAATCCACGTATATATTAATTTGTGTAGCACTGAATATTTTCTATGTTGACATTTATTTCTACTTACCTGGGGACGACGGCATCACCCAAGGTTCTGACGATGGTCTTCAGCAGTGGGTATTTCTCTCCACCGCACATGCCACCAAAATCATCAAGAGGCAAAGCCCACACAGCAATTCCTCCATAACCATTGGATTTCACCCAGTTTGTCTGTAAACGACGAAATAAAATAAATAGGCGACATGAAAGAAAACAAAATTCAATTGGATGTATGCCATCGATGACTAAGATATTAGTGTTAAAGGTCTGTTGCTGTTACACCGTCGCTAATCAGTAAAGTTAGCATAGAAGGCACTCAGTAAGAATAGAATTCAACACGTTGGGGTTTATAAGTCTAGCTCGCCAACCATTTTCCTACAGTCAAACGAACTTTACATGCCTAATTGCTGAAACAACTTTAGCTAAGTGTAGCTCTTTAATTATAAAACGAAAGGTCAGTATAGATTAGTGTTTCTTAGTGACATGAGAGGTCCCCGTAGATTACTCCAAACCGTGTCACTTAAACTTAATTCACATTTAAAATCGGTCTAAGTTATTGGAACATCCTTTATAACTTTATTGAAAACAAAATCTGTTGAGAATGAAAAGAAAGTTTTATATAATTTTTATTTATTTTTTTGTTGGCGATCATGGTTCTCCACAGTTTCCTGTCCTTTGTAGCTCTTAATAAATTTTGTCTCTTTGTCATCTCTCCTAAACCTTGTCTCGACATCCGTTTACTCAAGGTCGCTCGTTAGTTTTAGCGTTGTTTTCCTCTGTCTCTCTGGCCTTTAATCTGTCCTGTGAGTATCAAATTTTCTTAGCTCTCTTTCCTCGTTATGAACCCTAGAAATTTCAATTATCTCCTCCTGATGTTAGGCATAAGTGCCCTTTTTGTTTCCATTTTCTCTAAAAGTTCTTCATTGCTCATATATTCCATCCATGGTATTCTCAGCATCCTTCTGTAGAACCAAATTCTGCGAAGAGATTGTCTAGCATCCGCTGCCAAATAGGAGGACTGACATTACGTCACAGTTCAGTACTCTTTTTTTTATTTTTTATTTTTTTTATTTCTAACGAATATTTTTTTCTGTTTCTTAATACTTTACTTATGTTTTGGAAGGCATCTTTCGCTATCCCAATTCATCCTCGGATTTCACTGTCGCACTTTACTTTACTCTGTTAAAACACTTCCCACGTATTTAAATTCTTATACTTGTTTAACTTTGATATCGTCATTTTGTAATTTGCATGTTCGATAGTCAATATTGTCAATTAATATGCTTGATTAATTCTAGTTGATATTATTTTTTAGGTCATAGACTCAGTTAAATTTAGTCGAATAGAAAATATTAAGATGGGCTCGTTAATTATCTATATGATCAGTATTGCATAATTAGCCCTCTTATTTACAATTTTGTAGATGAAAGTCAAATTCATATTTGTTGTTTTCAATGATGTAAATGAACCGTTTACGCTAATAGGCTGGGAAAAAGGGCTTGGATGGAACGCTTCTGTTGTCACGCAACAGTTTTAAATAAATTCTACAGTTGACATTCAGAAAGGTTTTGCAGTGAGGCAAATAAAAGATGGCGCAGGGTGCAGATAATTTCTGAATAAGGCGTAAACACCAAGAAATCATCGGATAAATCATAAAAGAAAAGAAAAAAATGATATAAAACTGTTTCTTTTTGAGTCAGAGGAAAACAACGTTAACGAGCGACCTTGAGTAAACGGATGACAGGACAAGGTTTAGGAGAGATAACAAAAAATAAAATTTATTAAGAGCTACAAAGAACAGGAAACTGTGGAGAACCATGATCGCCAACAAAAAGAAAAAAAACAGAAAAAATGTATATAAAACTGTTTCTTTTCAACAGATTTTGTTTTCAATTAAATTATAAAGGGTGTTCCAGTAACTTAGACCGATTTTAAATGTGAATTAAGTTTAAACATCTGATGCCGGAAACACGAGATAAACCTCTACTCCGATTCAAAAGAGCGGGGAGGAGTGTGAACTGGACAATATAATCACTAAGACAGTTGTGTATATGGTTGTTTCTTGATTGCATTTTTATTTGCTATAAGGACCCCACTCCATGAGGGGCCCACTTGCCATTGGGCAAGCTGATACCCTGGCTAGTCCGCCGGTAGTAACTAAAAACATCCATCCTCTAATATGGCAGTGAATGCTGGACAATCTCCCTACGGATGAGAAGGAAACGACTAAGCATCAAAGAAATCTTAAAGAGAAAGTCTGCAGAAAGAAAACTTCTACTCAAAATCTGGAAAACACAGCTGAAATTCCTTACTGATGAGGAAGAAGGGCAAGAGAGATAAAGGAAAGCAGCGAGGCACATATCTAGCGAAGATTGTGTGAATGGATTGCGGCAAGGTGTGGGCGGGAGTTTAGCAAAGGGAGAAAAACAGTTAAAGGACAAAGGGGGTTTGAAATTGGGAAGAGCCATGATCGCCTATGTCCCGAAATGACGCGGCATATTGAAAAAGAAGAATTCTCCTTGTACAAGCGTACATTCAACGATATATAGAACTCACTGGTAACTGTCTCTCAACACAACACCATAAATATAGTTTTAACGTGTCAAAATACGCAAGAGTTATTCAAACGAACCTTAATAGTCAAGCTCTTTTTGTCATCGTATCCCACCCATTGGTCACCTTTGACGACATAGGGTACTTCTTGTTCTTTAATCCAATGAGTTGTTCCACCGGTTTTAATCATGTCACAGATCTAAGAAGAAGAAGAAACGAGAAAGAGAGAGTGAGAGATATATTAACATCATTTACACGAATTGAAAACTGGATTTAAGTTTGAATAAAATAGGATATTTGGTTTGGTTAGGTTCGTTTTTTTACGGTATATCAACCTCAATGGGTTATCTAATGCCGATAAAATTTTTATTGCTAGTAATATGTTTTTTTTAAATATACTGCTGTTAATATTTTTTTCAAAAAATGTATTGCTGGTAATATTTTTTTCAAAAATATATTGCTGGTAATATTTTTTCCTTCAAAAATTCATTGCTGGTAATAATTTTTTTCTTCAAAAACTCATTGCTGGTAACCTTTTTATAAAAAGTATTGCTGATATTAAAACCTATTTTACACTTTCATGGTATTTTGACCTCAGTTTAGGGGTTAATTTTTTGCCCATAGGCTGGGACCCTAACAGGTGCTACCACCCCGGGTCAGAGTGGACCTGGGAACACCAGCAATTAAGAGGTGGTTCCACGCTCCTCAAAACCTCCTGATCAGAGGCGTTGCTGCCAGATGCAGTTTAAAACTAGGATATAATTGACTAAAATAATTCTAAAAAAACTGATCATTTTTATTATATTTACACGTCACTTAATAGTCACATAATTGATTGATAATTTATATTTAATTCAACATATTCTTTTCGAAATAACATCAGCGTCAAAATTGATTTCCGAATATAAACACAAAGGGCATTCAATCATTCGTTTTAACCATTGAACTGGATAAATTAATTAATATCCGGTCCCTAGTTTCTGAGTACAGCTGTCTTCTTGAGCGGATAGCTAATCCCTGTTGCAGACGCCTGCTCAGTCACATTTGTTTGTTCAATGTCCACAAAATCCAACTGTGGTTTATATTGAAACTATGTTAAGCGGACTGTTGTGACCAAGTAAATGGTTAAAAAATAACAAAACAAGAGGTTACAGATAAATAATGTATTAAACAGTAAATACAACAGAAGAGGGTTACATGACTTGGGAGTGTGTGTCGGTTGACCAGCGTTCAGTTTAGATCACCGTTCTCCCCGAGGTTTACTATTCCTACTACTTTATATTAGAGGGAAGACACTACAACACGGACCTTACCGTTTCTGGGAGGGAGAACATAATTCTAGCGTGAAGAACAGTTTGAACATGGCTAGTAGGCTCGGTCACGATGGCTTATAACTTTATGCTAGCACAACCATTGATGGCTTCCAATCAGTTCCCTTCTATCCAATTTCATTCACAATGCTTGGCACGGCACCTGTTATGGTTTTCAAACACTTTCCAAAAGTGCCGGGCTGTAAAATAGCCATTCCAGGCCGTTAACATCAAGAAATCACAAATTGACCATGGTCAAATGCAAACCTGGGGTCTCATGGTCAGAAGGTTCGTTATTCATTAATTACGCCAGATTGTTTAATTTCAATAGAGTTTTGATACAGTTTAAGCCGAATGTTTAACTGCTTTTTTTAAATACTTTTACTTACTTTAAATTCACGAGCACTTTTATATTTGAATAATATCCTTATGTCTCATTTCGGAAATCGATTCATGATTTAGTTTTATTGAACAAGAGCAAAGTTTTCTTTAAAAATAACATTTACATCTAAAAACAAAGTATAACCCGTTCACTGAAATAGAAATTTCGGTCATTCGCAGTCGAACCAGTGAACTGCAGCCACGGAAATTTCCGTTACACGCAGTTGAGCCCTCGAACGGTAGGGACGGAAATTTCCGTCATTCACAGTTAAGCCATCGAACATCAATCACTGAAATCCCTGGAGTTAATTTCTTAATTACGGCAAAAAATGATTTCAACCAAGCAAACATCATTTTCTTCCTTTTCATGTTAAAGAAAAAATATTTAAAGATTACCGATTTTACAAGCATAGAGATTTTCAAATGAATTGACTTACTTCGTAATAGGAGAGGAATCCTTTCTCACGGGTATATCTTCCCTTATTGCATGGACCTTTGACGCTGTCACCTGGCTTGGTATTTGCCTTGTTGGTCAGTGTAAATCCTCGTCCATACAGAGCCATTCCGATGTTAAGAATTGATTTCGGCGCCCCTTTCGATACCCAGTATTCCGAAGCCCATTTCTGAAGAAATAAATAGAATATTATGAACATATATACATATATAACCATAAACATATCCTATTTACACACACGCATTCTCCAACCACCTAACAAGCATAAATAAATAATCTCTATGTTCGTAAATTAATCCTCAGCATTAACTCTGAACAAAAGAGACTAAACAGGGCCGATATCTTCTCCCTACTTCTCTTAATCCCCTAGTGACCTATATACAGTACCGCTATACATACAGCTTGCTAAGAAATGGTGGCATTAAATTTAAAGATTCCATTGATGAGTGATTGATTGTTTTTTACGGGTTATCAACCTTTGCGGGTTAGAAAAACGTACTGTATATATTACGTGCAGTAGATACCAAATATCAATACAGAATTTAATTTTTTATTTATTTCTAATTTTAATTAATTGTCTGGTGTCTTTAAATACTGCACACTTTACACATTAACAGATAGTTTAAAAGTACAATAGAACATTGGATGCAGTCCGCCATATTAAGAGTTGGTGTTCATTCAATGATTGTCCGAATCTGCTAATAATTGCTTCTGCATCCAATTTGTCTAACAATTCCTTTTCAATGGATAACAACATATATGATTCCAACATGTCTGGCATCTCGTCTACAGTCTCTTTCTCACAAACGTGATGTGGCTTCATTCTGTCTTTTCTACAAATATTTTCATGGCAACTGTTCTGATGAGCTATTTTCATTAGTTCCCCAACTGCATGAATTTAAGCATGCTACTAGGTTGGCATCTCGGTCCCACCCTTTTACTGTCGAAACAGTTAAATATAACCGCCTCTTCTACTCCAACGGCTTCTTCTCTCGTACTTCCCGACAGTGGAACTCCCTTCCTCTTACTTGCTTCCCGGCTAGTTATTATCTTCAAATATTCAAATGTAATGTCAATCGATATCTTCTGATGCCTTGATCCTGATCCCTGTCCTTCTCTATATCCTTTCCACAAACACCCCCTCTTTACTCTTACTATCTGTAACCCCTTGTGTGCTAGTGGCACTCCCGGCTTGCTTGGGGTGAAATGCTTTAAAAAATCTCCACAGATAGCGAATCTCTTAATCTTATTTTTATGACATTGGACATGAGTAACTGATAGTGTGCAGATGGATTTATAAAGTTCTTTTTCGATTTTCATTTTAGTTCTTTTTTAATATTCTTTAAACAATTAACTCCAAGCAAAGCGGTAATGCCCCTAAAACACAAGGGGCTAGTGGAGATGAAAGAGAATGAAAAGACTTTAGAAGGAACCGGAAACCCAATCCTAAACAGGAAACACG